CATGCAAAAGCCAGGTTATCTGCAATCTCAAGCACATCTTGTGCTCCCCTTCAATGTTACTTGAAGCAAGATCCGAACCAACCTTTCCTGTCTGCTAATGGAGTTACTCCATGCAGACACTGTTTATTTGAATAAATATTACCAGAGGATGGGTCTTAAATCTGGATCATCTGTCAGAGAACACACATGTGCACACACATTCCCTTTTCTTTTACATGCTATATGTATACAGTCTTGTTTAAAAAAATGAAAAAAATTAGATCAAAAATCTTAGATTGCTCCTGCATGAGGGTTAAGTGGATTTTTTATTGTCTCAGAACCTGCAACATAGGAAACAGAATAAGCGGGGGGGGGGGAGAGAAAAAAATCTTTAAAGGAAAGATACAAGTGGAAGCTGAAACAAAAAATATTCATCTTTATTCAGAAGCACCAAAGGAATCTGTCCACTTCCACTTCCATACAGTAAACTTGCTGTTAAGCCAGTAACATGCAGAAAAATACATGCAAATTTCTGGAAGATTGAATGCAGTATTTCATTGTGCTGGCTACAGCCAAAATAGTGTGATTGGGCTGACCTTTAGTGCAGGCTCACATCAACATCAACATCAAATAGAAACTTTTCTGTCTTGTGCAGAATGTTTAAGGATAATCCATTTGCCTCTACCCAAACATATTGATTGCTTCTTCTTTCCCAGTGAGCAAACAAGTGTCCTCTGTCTTTGCAAAACACACATTAACCTTTCTCTTCTCTGAGTGTATGAACACAAATATAAGGATAAGCACAAATTGTAAGTACATATATGTGCATTTGCATACATTTGTGTATTTATATGTCTATGTGTAAGTATAGGAGTGCATGTAACATTTGCATTAGTAAAATGTTAGTACACGCTACCAAAAGGAGATGGTTGATCCTTTGAGAAATCACAGAGGGGGTCAGGATGGAAGGGACTACAGCAGGTCATCTGGTCCAACCTCCCTGCTCAAGCAGGGTCATCCCAGAGCACATGGCACAAGATTGTATCCAGGTGGTTCTGGAATATCTCTTGCTTGGTACCACTTTTATCTGCAGCACAAACCGTGGTGATACTCAGGGCCAGAGGGGGAAGGAGGAGCCTCAGGAGCAGACAAATGTCTGTCTGCTTTGCTGGTCCATCCCCAGCAGGTACCTCTCTTCTATTCCTTCTCCAGAGAGATAGTCAGGAGAGGGGTCAGTCCCTGTCCCTATGTGATGAAAGGACATAAACCAGAGGTTGCTGTCATCTCCCAGGAAAATCTCTCTGGATGGAGAACTGTGATGACAAACAAGCTGTCTCAGCCAGAGCAGCTTTTCATGCCAGTGTCTCCATCAGAGTGATCGGAAACGAGTTTGCATCAGCATTTCACACTGATATGCCAGGATGCCTTGGCCATGGGATTTACAGATAAGGGAAAGAAACTAAACCCCACACAAACCACCGTAGTTGCTCTCTGTTGGCTGGTTAAGTTTAAGGTTGCTAATTAGCATTTTGTTATTAATAGAGCCAGGCAAGAGGTCCTCAGCAAGATGTAATTTGAAGACTTGAGTAAAGAGAGGAGAGCTGAAGTTTTATTACATTGAAAATTGTAGTTTAGAGAAATTAAAAACTGGAAAATGTCAAGAGCTCAAAATGAAGTGTTTGAAATTATCTTTTTATGTATTTATTTTTGGCTTATTGGTTCAGTGGAATAATCCCACATCAATAATTTGATTTTTTCATTTCATTTTAGAAGAAGGGAAAAAATTGTTCTAATCTCAGAAATTCTCCAAGGGTGAAAAAACATTTCTTTCTGATCTTTGGCTGAGCAAGGGTCATTGCTGATTTCCCATATTAGTTTCCATGGATTCTTCCCATTAATATATCTCTCATCTATCCATTGCTACGGATGGCATAACAAGCTCTTGAAAGTACAGGATGCCTTAGTGTTCTATGTGTATACATAGTGATAGTGCATCCAGCCAGCACAAAGTAAGATTTTGCAAACTGAGATAAAATATTGACTCCTTAGGATAAGGAATTAATTGTTTTATTCTACACCAGACTTACAAGCTTTGAAATCCCTTTCAGTGGATGATCAAAGCTGGACGCCAACTCCACCTTTGGTACCCAGACCAAACAACGTAACAGGACCAGACTGTGTCAAGTGTCCACCAAAGTCCTGAGATCCAAAAAAAGAGCCAGGTGCTTTGTCACAGCACAACTACACTGTGTGGAACTAGGTCACCCTCACTCCACCTTCTGAGCCTGGGAATCTCTAGAAAGCTTAAGGTTTCTCATCCAAAAAGTTGGAAGCTGTACATGATATTGTGCCATACAAGCAGAGAAGAGTAAGTAAAGGACATTTTTAATATCCAAGGAGTGCTTGTAATCATGTAGATCTCCTCAGTCACTCACTTCTTAGAAGTGCACAGAACAAATAATTTTTCCAACACTATTAACATCCTCTTTATAAGCACAAAATTTCCATAAGTTTGTGCCTCAAAAGCTGCTTTCCATCACGTACTCAGATATCTTCTCAGGTGCAGCAACACTACTAGCAACCTCTCTTCCAGGGACACCCTGTCACAGTACTGAAAAGACTCTGTATAATTGGAAAATTATTCAAGCGCAAGCAGGTGTCAGTGGGTGATGGTACAGGGAGATACAGTCCTCTTATCTCAGTGTTTGCAAACCTTTCCCAGCTCTCAACAAAGGATTTACCGGTCTCAACAGTAAAGAAAAAAATTGCTTTGAAACGTGTCTGAACATCCAGAGGGCTCTGGTAGTATCCTGGGCTGAACCTACCAGCTGTACATACAATTTAACTCTCTAAGCTAATTCAATTCAGAGTTCTGTTACATCTTTGGCCCCCCCCAAAAAACAACTGACCAGTAAGAGAGCTGATGGGGAAAAACTAGTTTACCACTTACCATCACACTGACTGATAATCTATTAATGCTAACCTTGCTAGCAGTGGACTGTGCTGTGATTCATGGTTAATCATTTAAACTTTCATTCCACTAGAGTTATAGCCATGATAAAAAAATAGGTAGATTTTCAGTGGACAGAAATTAAACATTTAACCTTTCCACAGAGGCTTAATATTAAACCTCATCCAGTGCATTTATCCTTTCCCTTCCATGTTACAGCCTGATAGTATTTGTTGCTCAAGTTTTAAAAATTATTGACTCATGTAATTTTGTTTAGTGTTGACTCAATAGGTGTTGTAAGAAATGACAAAGAAACGAGGAGTCATTGGTACAAACAATTCCTAGGAAGCAACTCCTACTTTCTGTTGAAAAAGTCATTCCCCCTTGAGGTCCATTCCTGCCATGCTTAGGCATTGTCTGAACACTGAGAAAGCCAAAGTATCTAATGCCGCACTCAAGAAGGGCAATGACAGGTCACCAGTAAGTGTCTTATACAATTGCAATTTAATATCAAGCTATTATTACAAGACAAGAGCTGCATTGCAATAAGGTACCTCTGTCCTGGAATAGAGCCTCCATACTGGTAGGGGGATTACTGACTGTATTGAATAGCAGGACACACTGGTATTTTTTGTTGGCCAGATCATTGTCCTGCCAAGTACCTTCCTGTGGGATTCACTATACCATTGCATAGCGGATAGCAGGGATAGGGTGATGTTTGTCTTAGATTTGTCATGGGAACTATATGAACTCTTGAAAACATGGTCCATCTTTAGCTTTGCTTTCACTACAGGAAACGGGCTCTTTCCTCCAGTCTGTACCAAAGGCAAGTCATCTCCTCACCTGTTCCCTTTAGTGGCTACCTATCAGACCTTTCTTAGAAATCAGGTCTACAACTTTCAGACAGTGCATATCCTGCTATCTGACCTGTATGTTGGCAGGTGCAAAAAGAATTACTCTGGCGTGCCAGAGGCTGAGCTGCAGCAAGTGTCATCAAGATTAATGACTTCATCATGGCAAGCTGGACAAATCAATCAGAGTCCTTGATGGCAGTGAGAAAGAAGAGACCCTATTACCCATCCAACCCATCTGTCAGCGTGAGCTCCAGACACTGCTCAGCACTGGCTGGTGGGGTGGACTCCACACCTCACTGCTGCCCTCAGCTCTCAAGATAACCTGCAAAGGCCAGTGCCCCTCCACAATTTTCGGCATCAGATAGTCTTCACAGCTCACTGGGGACATCCCAGCCAGCTCTGCAGAGTCATCACGCCAATGCTGATGAAGAGGTGAGCGATAGTGCTTGTTAAGGGTGCGACCAGCTAAACTGTCCCCACTGCAATTAGACTTTCTAGGAAGCCTCTGCTCAGATTCAGATAGCTCTTGGTGCATCCCTACTTCCCTTTGACTGAAATCAGCCAGAGAAAGCACATTTCTGCAAGCACTTAGAGGGTGCAAGACCTTATGTCAACTGAGCAAGTGTTAATGGAAGCTAAAACAGGGAAGAAATAAAAAAAAAAAAAAAAAGAAAGCAGACATTGGTAAAACTCAATGCAAGATTAGGCAGGACTTACCTGACCTGCCAGAGAGATTAAGAAGGAGGCAGGCTATAAAGCAAAGTCGATGCATTGTCCCTTCCCCATTCCTCTAATATTCTGCCTCTGATGATGTGAGATTCTCCAGGCAAGAAAAGAACACCCCCACCTACACAGGGCACCGTGTCCTTGAAAGAAAGGAGAGTGTGCAGGTGTATGATTCATTCCTTTGGTTAGGCATAGACTGAAGAACTCTTTTGCTCTTCAAAGCAGCCCACTCCACAGAGAGACATCTGGTAAATCCTACATGAGTTAATCTCCTGCCACAGTCTCAAAAATACACACAAATGAAACCAGGTCCCTCCTGCTGGCAGCGTCTCTGCATGGGAGGAAATAACAAGCCTTGTCCTTGAAAGGTGATTCCTCCATGGGATATGGAATAGAGCTCCCTGTAGGACAGGGACTTGTCCCCATGTTCAGAGGTGATACAATGACTGTGAATGAGCCTTTTAATGATGGACAAAATAAATTTGCTTTAGTGTATTGGTACCTGATGGAAACTGCAGAGATCTGGGCCAAAGCAAGAATGCTTGCTGGAGGTGGAAGGTGATCCAAAAAGTTGCTGTCCTTTTGCTCCACCCTCTGCCAGAGACCTTTGGAGATGCTGGAGCTACACATTACACCCTCCGTCTGCTCTCAGCTGATCTGTGGAGGAATCACTTCCCCAGGGAGTTGGGACACAACCCAAATGCCTAATCTGACACAGTTAATACTCCTAATGGCTCCATGTCACCTCCTTAAAGAAAAATAAAAAGAATAATATCACCACAAGTAAATAATATCACCACCAAGTAAAATATCTTGCAGTTAAGTATCAACAGACCTGAGCTTGTTACTGCAGAAGTGACAGTAGACCCATAAAGGCACTTCTGTTTCTACCCTCTAGATGCTAACCTCTGGCATGACCTATCAAAAGATCTTTGCAGATCTAAGCTTTCTCCGCAAGCTTCTTGCTTGTGATTTAACAGGATCCACAACTAGTCCTATGAGATGTCCCGGGGCAAATTCCCAGGAATTCAACATTTTAACAGATATATCTGGCTAAGACATTTTTTTGCCACTCACATCTCAAACTTGGTACGCTTTGCTAGTAGGATGATGAGAGTCAAATATGTAGAAGGATTTGGTCATTATGCTCTGATATAGACCATCATTTATACACACAACACTTTTTCCACAGAGAGAGAAAAGTGCTTGAATTCAACCACTTCTTGCAGCCCAGCAAGAAAGAAGACTGGGTCTTGCAGGTTGCCTCCATACAGGTCAGGGTTAAATTGATGGCATTGATGAAATGTAAATGGAAGATATTACATAAAAAAATTGCATAATGTTCCCAGATGTTTTCAATTTTCTGAGTACTTCTAAAAATAAAATGAACTTTTAATACTTAATCAACATAGTTATTCATTCTCTTTTACCCAAGATGAAATTTCCCATGAATTTTTTATGGATACACATTAGTTATTGCCTTTGGCTTCCTGGTTCAGACACAGTTCTGCCCTCTGTTCCACTGATTGTGCAAATTATCCCCCACTGCATAGACTGGGTACACTTTCAAGTCCTTGAAAGCTCTTCAATTGATTTGGTTTAGCTAGACTTAGTTCAGGAGAGAAATATTGGCAAGGAATGCATTAGCTACCTAATGGGAACATAGCACACCCCTTATTATCATCTGATCATAGCCCCATTAACCCCTTACCCCACAGTGGCACCCATCTCCCCCAGAGTCTGAAACAGCCTGGCAGCATGGGCAGGGTGGGATGTGGCTTATTGTGGATACCTGTCTACTGTGTATTTTTTTTCATATCATCCTGCACTTGTAGATGCTGGTGGTAGAGACACGTTGAGCATTGTGAGATGAAGACTTAATCTGAAGGTGCTCAGCTGGATTTGTCTTTGTAAGTTCTCTTTTCATCCAGTACCAAAAAAAAAAATCCAGTGCAGGGAGAGGAAACCTTTAGGTGCAGTAAATCAGTGCAATTTTTTTTTACTCTAGACTTAAATGACTCTGTGACTTTTATTCCTATGTTTATTGCATAGCATTCAACAACACATGTCCTTAAAGACGAGAATGTGTTTTCTTGATATATCAGAGATGAAATCCCAGCCAATTTGTGCCCAAGGTTCTAATGGAAATGCACAGGGTGCATCTTGGTGAAGAAATGATTCAAAAGGAAAAGGAGCACAGAGGAAGCTTGAGAATGTTTGCATAATCACTTCCTAAAAGCAAAGTGCTGCAAACAACAGCCAAAGAAAATGACCAGGATGATATTGAACTGTCAACCAGGGATAACAGAGAGGACACTCAAGTGACATGTCAGATCCATGTAAAAATAAAAGCCTGTAGCTTCCAACTGTTTCTGTGAGTGCTTTAGCTTGTCATGCCACCTCACATCTCTAAGGAAACTATGAACCATCAGCAGGGAGGGCTTCACATCAGGGTCAGGTGAAAAGCAGGAAAAGATGGGATTGGTATCAATCCAAGTACAACTACTGCTTGGCCCAGTACCAGCACCAGCCTCTGCTCAGCACATCCCACACATAAAGCAGAAGATTGCCCAACAGCACTGTGTAGCCACAATTGCAAAGCTGAAAGGCAATAGCCCATTATGTTGTTTTCAGCAGTGCTGCTACACACTCATACAGTGTTTAGCAAAGTGCCTTGTGTGTCTTTTTCTGCCAGTGTTGGGAATCCACTTAGAACAAGCCATTGAGCTTTATTTTTATTTTACTTAATTTTTTTTCCAAATGCATTAAGATAAATATGTATATTAGCAGTCACTAGGGCAAACAGAAAATATTCATTTGCATTTATTGCAGGCAGTTAGAACCCTACCACACTTTACCTTTCAGAGAGGAAATTTCTCCTGTGATGAATTAATCCTTATGAGCTAGTTCTTATTTCCTTCATTTCTTTGCAGCTTGGCTTTTTAGAAAAGAAAATGAGTGTTTATTTTTTTGTTATATGAATTGCATTTTCTGCTAACCACTATTTATAAAAGGGGTGACTGGTCTTCAGCTGAAGTACTCCCACTCAGAAACCTAAAAAGACCAGAATATTTACCTCTGTCACGTACTCAGCCCTAAACATTTCCACAGAATTTTCAGGAGCCCTTGAAGGGGAAACATTTTTGTAATGGCCAGTGCTGTCACCAGAAGCTATTACATTCTGAAATTAGCAACATGCTTTCTCCAGATTGTTCCATTTGTTCTCAGTTCATGGAAACCACCAAACAAATTGATCTGATCTGCCATCAAGCTCATTACAAAGGGTCATGGGAAGAACAGGACAGTGAGCACAGGGTCCAAGAGGCTTTGGTGGGATGTGCAGCTGTATTAATACATATTGCCCACATGCTGCAAGAACCGCAGTCACCAAACAGCCATTACAGAAGTGCACTGAACCCCATCACCTCCTTCCTTTCTATTATCCTCTGACTGTTATCACATAGAGAGTCTTTTAATTTCCAAACCTTATGATCTTTCACTTTTCTGGCTTTTAAAGGGGCTCCTTTATTTCCCTATCACCATTCTGCCAGTGCCAAGGCCACCTGGATAAGCTGCAGGGACCACTGGAGGCAGCACAAGGCCAGGCCATTCTATGATTCTGTGATTCTATGACTATGAGGACAATTCTATGACTCCTTTGGAACAATGCAGGTTGACCCCTTGGAGGGCACTGAGTCAGTAGTGGAAGAGTTATGACTTCCATGCCTTTGCTGCCTATCAGTTGAAAAGCCCATAGTATGAAAAGCCAATTAATTGATATTATTTAAAGACTGCTTTTCAGAGGAGTTCTTTGTTGGAGGGACTGAATCTCAACTCTGTGCTAAATTATGCACAAGAGTTAAGGGAGGTGAGAGTCAGAAATCCACTGGGTAATCATAATCACTGTGCAATTAGGTTTGATATCATAATAGAAGGTTACTCTCCTAGGGGTAATGCAGTGAGGGTGAACTTTAAAAGGCCAGATTTTAAAACTACGAGAAAAATGATTAACAGAAGGCTCAAGGGCATAGTGAAACTCTTTAACAACTTAGAGCAAATTTGTTCCTAGAGTAACTGCTCTGGCAGCCTCAGGAGTTGTACTAAGGGTGAGTTTGGCTAATGTAATCAATCCGGAGGCTATTTAGGAATCTGTTCTTAGAGGGGCAGATGGTGCTTGGACCTTTGAGCTGAAAATAAGAACAGGAAGAATGAAATTTGCACGGCTGAGCAGAGTTTACTGAAAATAAACATTCTTTTAAAAATTAGAAAGGATATCTGACTAAAGAGCAGAACAGAGGGTAGAGTAAATGCAGACAAGCTAGAAAGGAAAGGGACGTAGATGTACAGGTCTATTAAAAAAAAATCAAAGTATTTCTGATACAGTAGAAGAGAAAAAATTAAACCCCCAACCAGGCATATAATGAGTGAAACTTAGAAAGCGCTGTTGTTATGTGACAGCTTTATTGTACCTAATTAACTCAAATATATGTATAGGCTGGAAGACACCACTCTCCATGGTTACTTGCTGTCAGATGTACTAAAGCAGGCATTTCTTCTGCACAGCCCTCTATCTTTGTGGGGAGAGGGGAGACTGAAATTTCAGAGGATGCTGAAGCAGGAATAAAACCATGGCATGAGTTATTTGTATGGATGTAACTAAAGAGATTTCTTGTCTCTGCTGCTTTCTCTGGGAAAATAGAGAGTGAATTCAGCAATGACTTACTTTAACACTGTGGGAGGTGAACAGGACCTGAGGAAGGAGTTATATGGCCGCCGGTTTACCAGGGCAGTAAATCACCTGGACTAGGCAGTGCCCAGCCCAGCCTGTAGAGAAAACAAACCACACAATAGTGAACCTGTCAAACAAGGTGTCCTACTCACCTTACGGGGTGAAATTCCCTCCTGAAAACAAAGGAAAGGGTTCAGTGCTGACTCCTATTGTGCAACAACCGCAAGGGAAAACTCACTGGGAGCTACTGCAGGAGCGGTACCCCCCAACGCTTGTGGAAATGCTGCCCATCCAGGCAGTGCTCCCATTGCAACAATACCATCACTGCAGGGAAGGATACAGCATCTCTGGGGCAGATTCACACCCCAAAAGTGGCAGAGACACCCTGGCTGGGACAGGATCCCCCATGATCCCCCATCCCTTGAAACAACCACCATCCAGCTGGTGCCACACAGGACATGAGTTCAAGGATCTCAGCATGGACAAAACCAAAAAGTTTATTTACTTTTTTTTTTTTTAAGTTTCCCAAAATGTCACAATTCTCTTCTTTCATGTTTATGCAGCCTTAAGCACAACAGGCCCTCGACCTCAGCTGTAGCCTCTAATGTCACCATAATGAAGGCAAATAAATGACGATAGGAAGAAAACCCACTTCAGTCACCGTAAGGAAATATTGTTACTTCAAAGCAATTCTTCATCTGAAAAGTTAATAAAATAGTACATAAAGGTGCCTTGGTAGATATAATTTACTTAACTTTTCAAAATGCTTTTGATAAGGTCCCTTATAAAAGAATATTAATGGTAATGAGAACGATCTTACATTTATGGTGGTACCTCTCATTCAGATGAATCCAAAAGTGCTCTACAAAGTTTTTATTAACTGATTGTACAGATCAGGAGTCATATATGTCCCCAAAGTGTTGCTAGATCTGGGAGAAGGCATGACAGCTATTTAATTGCCTAGTATGCTGCTGTTCAATATTTTAGGGTAGGGTGTAAAAGCAAAAGCTACAACTATGTGCAATTAGATTAAATTTAGGCAGGTAAAAGCTACTTTCCAAAGCCGAGATTTGGCTGACAACCAAGCTCATCTTGTCTCTCTGCCCTCACCCAAATGTTAAGGGATGCCTTAGGCTGAACAGACAAATGGCTCAGCTGGAAAAAGGCATCTTTTTCAGATTGCTCCCAAACAGGCAGACAGTGGCCATTTCAGGTTGCTCCTCAATATACAGTGGGATGTTTATGGGCACCTATACTTGGACATCTGACTCCAGAGAAGCACCATCTTCAAATTTTCCATAGGTTTTTTATCTATGTCCTTCAGCTTCATAAGGTAGCTGCCAATTCTGACAGCCACCAGCAGAGCATCTTCAGCTCTCATTAGTCTTTGGGAAGCAATCTCTGCTTCATTTCTGCAGTCAGTTTTGCTTTGAGGTGCATATCTGAAGCACTACTAATCCAGACCATTATAATCTTGAATACAGTTTCAGCCATAAGCATATTCTGTTTAGAGAGTATCAGAATACTTAATTTAAAGGCATAAAATGTCTCATTTAATTGCCTGAAATCAAAGGTTTCGTATTTTAATTAAGCTTTTAAGAGGACTTATTTCATTGCTCTGATTTTTTTTCTCCTCTCAGATATGAAGGTCATTAAAGAATATTTTTACTGATTAAGCAATAGTAAGAATAATTTTACCAAATGTTTTGTACAGTGTGGGTACTACCCCAGACCTGAACTTCCTACACTATCAGTGATCAGTAGACGAACACCACTCATTTATTGAGCCTGGCTCAGTGAAAAGGGCTGCCTGAACTTCCAAGTCCTTTATTTCTTGTTACTTGCAAAAAAAGAAGATGCCAGGAATGCTGAATTATAGCTTCTCCCTAGACATGTATTCCTCCATGGTTAGGCTGCTTTGGCACCTTTTCTACTCTCTCTTAAATGAGCAGCCTAAAACCAGATACATGACCAGTGTAAAATGAATACCAGGAGCTCACAGATGGGGGTTGAAGAGGACCTTGAAGGTACTAAGATGTCCTAGTTGTGTAGGCAGAAAGATTTCAGCTCAGCTGTAATACCCTTGGGCACACCTTTGAAATGCTCCATCCAGCCTCTGCCCGAGGCAGCACGCATCTCATGTTTATCACCATCCTGCTGTACTTTTTTGCAGAGCTAAACAAAGGACAGGGTCCCTTCCTTGAGTATGACAGCTTGTCAGACTTTGCAGTACAATCCATATTTCATATCAAGAGTCCCCCTCAAATTCAAGTTATATAAATTATATATTGCTAGGTAAACATGACCTTCCTCTGCCAATTCTTTCAGGCCAGAGACAGAAGCCAAAACAAGAAAAATCTTGTGAGAACAGACATCCAGGGCCAAGCTGTCAAAAACCTTCAACAAGGAACTGAATTGTCAACAGAGGTCCTCATTTCACAGGGTGCTTGATTCCTGCCTCAGTGCTCCCCTGTTCAAATTGCTGATGGATTTTTGCCCAGAATGATTCCATGTCTTTACATTGCAGCCTTTTATTTCCTACATGACTCTTCTCAGAGGTTATGAAGGTCTCATTTTTAGTACAATCCTTTGGGAAAAAGAGAGAAGAACAATTCTTATGTGAAAACGTGGCCCCACAATCTGCCCCACAGTGCAGCAGGAGCCTCCCCAGCCCCCCTGCAGTACATTCACATTCCCATGGAGAAACTGTCTCACCCTCTACTTCCCACAGGCTCTGGAAAGCAAAACCCTTACTGTTAGGCAGTTTAATTTCAACTGTGAATAAGCATTCATGTACTTGTGGCCTATTCAAGGAGGCTCTTTAGGCAAAGTAATGGTTTAAAACTTCTTTCTGCTGCCAGGGTGACATAAAGAGGCCTCAGCACACCCTAAGGCTGCTGTATATGCAACGCAGTAATTTAAACTGCTGTCTCCTGCAAGGCTCATTGTGTGTGGTGCACACCTGGCCTCTCTAACCTGATCAACATTTAATGCTTTGTGTCTTTACAATGGGTTTTAGTCCCCTCAGTAAAGACATTCTTAATGCAGTGTGCCTGCAAGAGGCTCTCAAATGCCTTGGAAATAAGGGACAGGGAGTTTTCCAAGCATATACAAAGCTAGCCACTGTCCTACACCTTCTGGATGTTCCCATGCCGCGAAGACAGAGTTGTAGGCTGCTGGAAATGGGGAAATAAGAAAGGAAGAGATGGGTGATAAGTCCCCTACCCCCCTACACTGATGCAAGGCACATTGACACCTCAGGTTTCAAGGTGCAGATCTGATCTCAGACACTCACTTTTGGAAGCCAGTGGCACCGCAGTCAGCAAGGGAACCTTTTTCTTGGGTACACAGTTGCTTGAAACATTGCTAGACAGATGCTGATTGCTGCTGGCATTTGTCTTTCAGCAGCTGTCACAGCAGGCTCCTAGGGATGTGTGGGAAATGCCTTGCAATTATGTGCTTTATGATGCACCCCAGAGAAACATTTGGCCATATGTGTTTGCACAAGGGCACACATCCCATGTGCAAGAGGGTCCATGCTGGGTGCTATCAACATAACGAAATTGCTCTCCCTCCCTGACAGCTCTCTTACACTGGTGGAAATGCCTGTCTTCTGCAAGATATTTATCTGTCTGATTTTCCCATGATTTGCATCTTGCTGCCTCCTGCCTTGGGTTATTCCTCCAGCCAGCTGAATCTCCCTTTCCTAGGGGCTGTATCTCAGCTCTTCTCTGAATTTCTGAGCGGACAGGGACTGGGTTTCCTGCCCACGTTCTGTACCTGTGACTGACTCCCAGACACTGAGCACAAATGTGTTAGATGCAGTGTTAAATCACTTGCTGTTCTGGAAACTCACTCTGCTCTGGAGTCTGGGGGACAACCTTCAGGGAAGAGTTCATTTATTTTTGTCACTGTGTCCTCCTTTTCAGGGACCATCATCAAAAGGGTTGTGGGGAGAAAAGCTTTCACTATTCCCTGAGAAAAATATTTGTAGATAAAAACAATTTTTCTTCCCATTAGACTTTTTGGGTTTTGTTGTTTGTTTGTTTGTTTTTTTAATTGAGGTGGACCCATGTCCACTAGGGGTTTAAAATCTTTTTCAGATTTTGCCCTTGATGATAGATGAAAACCCCTTCTGAGCTGTTACCAAACCTGTCCCAGCAGGGTTGACAGAAAGACCAACAGGACAAGAGCTAACACCATTCCCTCTACACATATGCTTTCACCACTTATGCCTAATCTTCAGGCTCTTTCTTCCACAAGCCTGTTTGAATGCTTGAACCCCTAAATGTGTTAATGTACAGTAAAACATTCTCTTTTTTTTTAGTTTTTATCATCCCAGGGGAAAGCAAAGGAAGATCTGACTGTGTCACAAGAACTGCTAAATTCCTAGACTCACAGAAGCCTGGCTCTTGCTGGACCAGTAGTATGGCCTGCAATAGTGCTGCAGTAAAGCCTGATGGATGGAAAGTGAGAGTCAATAGAGTTCAGTCCTCTCATGAAAGCCAAACAAAACACTTCCCCACTTTCAGTATGCTTTGGTATTCTCTCTACATTAGTCTGAGCTAATTTCTTTTTTTAGGTGTGGTGTTTTTTTTGCTCCCTTTGAAGGTCCTAGAAGGACCTCCTGTGGCTTTCACCAAGTGAATCAGAAAGTCACACTATGGGACCTGGATGGTTTCTAGGAACCTCCCAGTTAAAATGGCAAGCAGCTCCACAGTACTGTAACAGACAAATCGGACTGGTGCATACAAAGCTTCTAGTTTTGGGAACCAAAAGTACAGATGTTTAAGCTTTAAAACCTTCCCAGCTTTCCACTTACCCTCCCAACCAGCTGGAGTTAAGTGGTATATGCTTTATTATACAAGAAAACCAGGGACATTGTTTCACTTCTGAAGTCTCCTTACAGACTTAGGCAACAATTGTTACTCATTTTAGGAGTTTTATAGCAGCTCAAGTCCTGGAGAATAACAACGTTTAACTGATCTTAGTGATACAACATTATTTGTAGGGCTAATTTCACAGCCGTTGTTTTTTTCCTCGGGACAACGGAGGTAATTTTCCTAAAATTACATTGTTTCCTAAAACAGCTCTATTCAGCACCATACATCTACCTTCTGGCAGCATAGTTTAATTTGCATTTAAATAATTTCCTGTTATAGTTGGAAAAGTAATTATACATAACACTAAACAATTTTCAAGGTTCAGCATTTAATTGGTCCATGATCAAATCTCTCTCCTAGGCTCTGAAACAACTTTCCCAAAATGTCAAACTCCTAAATACCACAACCTTGCTTCTTTTCTTAAGGTTCCTCCATTTGCTCATTCATCTGTGGTGAATTCAGGTTGGTAGAAAACCACGTTGGTTTTACCATCCTTAGTTTCTTTCTCTTCAGGGTTGTATCATTTTGATTTGCTGATTTTCTCCTGGTAGAAGAGTTCAACTCTGTCTGCCATCTGAGCAGCAGATCTTACGGAGATTCCATGCTCATGACACTAAAAACACCACAGTGCACCAACCCTTAATAGCAGTTACAGATGTCAAATCATGGCCTAATTCTGATATTTTTATCACAGATGATGCAGGGAATTAATGTAGTTTGAGCCAAGGCAATAGCAGGACATCCATTTTTTATCCAGACTGTACTGAACCTTAGATTTTTGTTTGGTACTAGAGGCCATTTGTCACACATAGATCCATATGTACTTGTTCCTCACTTTTGCAGACTTTTTAATCAGGTTAATTATACAGCCAAAAAAACAATTCTCTGGAGGTGTAGATCACTCTTAGAAAGACTTTGTATCCTATTAAAAGATCGTATCCCTAACAGCTGTTTAACGTGCCACAGCCTTTTTCCCTTAGAGCGATAATGCCTATAGAATATGAGCTATATTATTCAGTGCTCTGATTATCTGCTCATGAGCCATGTGAAGAGAAATACAGTCCCCTACACTAAAAGTGCCGACTCCAAAGCATCAAGCCATTAACTGTAGAAAAAGTCTGATGCAAAAGAGAGAATGATGCATCACAGGAGCCATCATATGGCCCATAAAGTCAATATTGAAGCCATGAAATTCAGACATGAGTGCAGCTTTCCTCCAGGTTTAGGATCATCCTTGACTTAACCCGTTAGCCAAGTCCCTTTCTACCATTAAAAGTGATTCAACCACTCATATTATTCAAGACTGAAATCACTAATAGCATGCCATGGATCTGCCTTATAATCATCTCTTATCTGGTGCTTGAGGAACCCTCTTGTGCAGGTAAGGAGCACTAAGGATTTTAGTGCCCAAAATATCTGTCTAAAAGAGGTAGTGCACTGTGCATTTAGTGCTTTCAAATCACAAGTTTTGTGAGGCTTTACACTGAGCCTAAAATGATATTGAAGAGGATCGCTTTGCACCAACCCTCCAGTATCATATACCAGATTTTATCAGGGAGACGATACCAAGCCAATAAGTGGATTTTCAGATAAAACTTCCACAGCTAGTCAGACTTGAAGGCAAGTGACGGTGATAACCCCTGTTATTTTCACTTGCCATCATGTTTTTATTTTGTTCTCAAGCTTGCAGTCATTTCACAGATGCCTGCAGCAAATCACTCTGGGATAACTCCTCATCTGGATAATGATGGCAGTTTAAGGGGCCCCACTGCCAGCTTATGAAAATGATAAAGAAACAGTTTTCACTTAGATCTTAACTAGAGCAACCTGGTCTAGTGGAAGGTGTACTGGCCCATGGCAGGGGGGTTGGAACAAGATGATCTCTAAGGTCCCTTCCAACCAAAACCATTCTAAGGTTCTCTGAAGGTAGATACAAATGAAAAGATCAGTGTGTTCAAGAGCACATGTGATCTGTCAGCCTAGGGAGGTTGTCAATAAAACAACTCCACAAGACAATTTAAAGGCAAAGGATCTGGACTGGGGTAAGAGCTAGGAAGCATTAGATCTACAGCCAAAAGACTAAACAGCTTGCTAACCCACACTCAGAACTCATGAAAGGTATTGCTACAACAGTGTCTGCGTATGATGTTCCCCTAAAGCTTTTCTGTCCTACTGATTTTGACTTGGATCATAAAGAAAAATTGTCTGAGAAGAAAAGCGTTTTGACACCTTTCTCACACCTGAGTCTGTAGCAACAGATGTTTTGCCCCTTTCCCCACCAGAACCAGCACACTCATAATCATGTAACTCTTTGCAAAATGACTGCGAAGTTCCTTGACGACTTTTTTGGTTTTTGCCCTTTGCTAACTTAAAAGGTAAAACCTGTGGAAAACAACAACATGAACAACCATATGAGAAAAAAGGCACCGCCTGGTACTAGAGATAGGCCTGTTTGTAAGAATAGCTGCATCACAACAGGTGTCAGCTCTGTCACGGTGCTGCACAAAGCATCCAAGCAGCAGTCAGAGAATGATGATAATAAAAAGAGAGGAAAGGAGTTGTTTTGAGATAGAAATGGCTATAAAATGGAGAATATTTTGTAATTTTTATTTAATTTAATGTAATATTTCTGTGAACATATATATTAAAAAATCTTTTTCTCTTTTTGTGTAATATAAAGAACAGTAACCCAAAGCCTTAGTGAGCTGACCACTGTATAAAATCAATCAAATTTCTCAATTTCCATTATTACAGCAATTTATCTTCATTGTATCTCTCCATGTCCTCTCAGTACTCTCCAGTTAAGGAGCTGATAGCTATTTCTGTCAGAACCTCCAGCGAAAGAGGTGGCCAATCCTCTAAAAAAGCAGACAATTCCCAACACTTGGAGGTAAGTCATGGGCATCCTACAGACTCTCTGTCTAACTTCTAATAAGCCACTTCATCGTAATCATGTTTCCTAATTTGAAAAAATATGAGAAAAATGTCTCTTTTTTTGTCCAAAGACTAGAAAGTCTTTAGGAGAGGACTGATGTTTAATTATATTTTTACACAGCATTTAGATTTCATATACTCCCATTTCTTGCCCCTGATTCCTTTGCCTACTTCCATACTATGAAATATTCCTATTAACAGCCCTGTGCTACCATTGCTTTATTTCTGGTTGTGGTTTTGTTCTATAAACTACTTTAATTAATAAAGGTAATCACTTTGATTTCTTCTTTTTTCCCTGTTCTCACAGAGCTCTAAAATTAAACATGTATTTAGAGCTTTTCTATATGAATGGCTGGACTCCAGCACTCCTTTGGTCTTTTCACCAGCTGCAGAAGAATTATACTGATGTGAGTCTGACCTGATGTTTTACGGAGTTTTAATTTTTTTACTATACCCTTTGTGAAAGCAGTGAACATACACATACTTCCAAACAGTTCTGGCCCTTGCAGGATTGATGGAAAGAAGGTTAATAACATATCTGAGAAAAACAAATAGTTGGATGGATAGCACACCTTGATTAATATCTGCTGCAGTGCCAGCAGTGCTGGGGGAACTACACGTCGTAATTCTGTTATAACTGGAGATATGTTGCCAATGGAAAGAGAAAGGAGATTATCACACTGCTGTGTCTGGCAGCTCAGTGTAATGCACAGATACAGGTTAATGTCTCCCCTCTGCTCTTGTTTTCAGGGACGGTGAAAGATCTGGACGAGAAAGCTGCAGAGCTCTTGAAGCTCAAGACGTGCGCTACATTTGAATGTGCACTGCCAGAAAATCCCTTCTAGGATGTGTCTGAAGAGGGGATGAGGGCAGATTAAAGGCAGGACAATAAGTTTGAAGAATATGAAGCTGATGTCTTACACACAAGCAGGAGGATCCCAGCACTGCAGGGCACAGACAGGCTGCAGAGAACCCTCCAGAGTGCTCAGCCCAGCACAGACAAGCCCAGCAGGAGGGGGAGAAGATGTACAGGAGAGGCTAAATTTTCTTACTCAAACCATCAGAGTGTCATGGCTAAATGCCCTTACTTTTTGTTTGGCAGTAAATAATTCATGTTCCTGAGCTGTAGGTGGGACACGTTTCAGGCAGAAAGGGAAGACGCCAATAAGCAGCTCTTTAAATATACATTGCCTCCTGTTTGCAGGCACAATGTGTGGGAGCAACTGTAAACTGAAATGGTCTTGTGTTTGCTGGCACCTCTGAATACAAAATTACCACTCTGGCTATTTATGGGGCAGAGGGGGAGGGAGGCTTCAAAAAGAAAAATCAGGCTTTTTAAACCTGATTCTTTTTTTTGAACTGGAACACTTGGCATTTCTGTGGCGGCATTGTATCCCCACTGGGGGAAAGAGTTACAGGTATTTTAATTATATATTAGTACAGCATTAAACTAGTTTTATTTGCTGAACATTCTGTCAATTACTGTTGTTACTTGAGAAGCATGACTGCTCCCAGGTTGATCGTGTATTTAACTAGCCAGTCAATGCTATTAATCACTAAGCATTTTCAGCCAAGGATATTAACATT